GGAATAATTCCTTTGTAAATTGCTCATATTAATGATCACATTCATCCACTGTCTCCAGAAACACAAAGTAGCAAACCTTCATACGGTATAACATGATTTGTAACAAGTGGATACCATTTCAGCAAGTAAAGGTCTTCCCTGTACATTGCATTGTAGTATTATAAAGTATGGTGAATTAACTGTGTCTACGCAAAAACATCAAAGTGAGAAAACAGGGGCAACCAAATGCAGACTTCTTCTAGGTGCTTTGAAAACATCTTTTAGGCTATCTGCAGTGCTTTTAAAGCTGTAAAAATGCATTTTAAGTGACACCACAAAATTTTGATCTGTTTTAAGGCAACTTTTAGTTAACCTATTTGAATTTATTTAAGGCTTTCTAACTGTATTATTATTACTTTCCAGAACAATATTATATTCTCACTTTCCAGAAAATCTTATCTTCCGTTTTGTCAGTAGTACCTGTATGAGAAGTTCACCACACTCCACATGACTTTCACTTGATCCTTTCCTACAGATCAATCACATAATATCAGTAATACATGGCTGCTTAATCAAAAATTAGAATCTAGACCACGTTTTTGCCTTATTGACGTGGAATATTCAATATTCTATTCTGACACAAAATGAAATTATCATGGAGGCATACTGATGCAAAAAAGGTTACCTAATATACAAGTACTTCCAAAGCAGCAGTCAATATTAAAAATAAAAAAAGTGTGATTACTAGCCTGAAATAAGTGCACAAAATGACTGTCTTTCAGACTATGTGTTTATGAGTAGTTTTTGTGTCAGGCCTTCCATGCAGTACAGAAAGAGACTGCATGGAGTGTACATTTCCATGTTCTGCATAATTGTTGCTTTTCCGATCAACACGCTTCGTTTCTTTAATTTGTACTTTTTCTTCATTCATAATGAAACGACAACAAAAGCTAAGTTCATTTATTTACGCAAAAGAGAATGACAGTTGAACCTGAAATACACGAAGATGACCTGGATAATAAAGATGGTGAAGCTCATGATAGTTGTTCAAAGTTTCAAATATATCATAGTTTGACCAGACCATTTTTGAAATTGATCCAATTTAAAATGCTACGTGGGACGTAGGACCCACTTTTACTAATTTCTAGACTGAACAGTCTGCTTAATAATACACACCACAAGCCAATCTTTTTGTACCACACAATTTATCACTTCTAATTATATGCTTGAATTACCTTGATTTAATAGGATTACATAAAATTTTGTGTAACATGTTTTTTACCAAGGTTATGTAAACTTACCATGCAAGGGCATGAAGAGGGGTCCAAGATTTCTAGATTGGATAACAAGAAATATTATTAATAATAAGTAGTAGTCTTGATATTCATTTATTCATTTCTAGTCTGTAACATTCCATAAACTTACATTGTTCACTGCTGTCACATCTGCATTTCGTTCCTGTTGAATTTTGAATAAAATAAATAAATAAGACGGGATTTAATTTACGTAGCTAGTTTACAGGGCTGATATACATGGGTTAACCCTGAAAACTGTTGTGTGCAGAGAAACATTATGACGTGTGTATTTCAAGAGTCAGAATGACATACCACACTTTCTGTTAGAGATACAAGGATCAGGAATCAGCAGAGGGTTAAATCCCCTTTAATCAATAATTGAAGAGGTGCATGCAACAAGGTCCTACAAGGTGTCTGCTAATCTGCTAATATGCCTTTAATTTTCAAATATAATAATACAATACAAATTGATTAATTATTATGTGATAGAATCAGGGTTTTCATTAAGAATTTAGTAGCAGGAGGAAGGTGTAATGTTACAGGAGAGTATTGTGAAAGACACTCTGCATCTGAATAAAAAATAGTCCTATAGGCTATCAAACATTAGCCAGAGAATTCTGCGTAGAAAACAGAGAATTCTCTGATCTCCTTTGCCTAATGAACACACTGTAGAATAATGACTGTAACAATTAAGACACGGGGCCAAAATTCTAATGGAAAGTTTACAAACTTTCTTAAGGTTGTTAAATTACTAGAGACAAATTGAGACCAAAATTAGTTACCATTAAGAGAGCCACACAAGGGAGATGGCCACCTTCTGCAGCAAAAAAGAGAGGAGTGTTCTTGTCCTCATCTGCAAAAAGAAATAACAAAATAATATTCACTGTGATTTCATTCAAATGTAGGATCAAACATTCTTATGGGAAAGAAATAAAAAAAATTTACTTTGCCTGTGAATCTTTATTTACCAGTATGGAAGAATAATTCAAAGTGGGTTTGTTCATATTTAAATTAAATTATTACCTCTAATATTGATGTCAACATTCTTATGATTCAGTAAAGTAACCATGGAATAATGGTCTCCTGGAAATACAGCAACTCATTTTTACTGATATTAAATACATCAAAATTAATATACTCTGACTAACTAATTATTTTCTAAATGATTAAAATGCATTGTGGTACGACATGCATTCAAAGTCATAACTCAGTTGGGAAAATATTGAGTCATAAATTTGTCATAAACAGAAACTCATAAGTTATGAGTTTCTGTCATAAATTAATCACATCCTGTTAAAAAGTTACCATTATAAAAGAATAGCAAAAACACATCTGTAGGCAAAAACGTGCAGAAACCATAGATCACAGATTATTGTACAACTCAGCACTGCGAGAAAGATTTGAAGTACATGTACAAGGGGCTTTACTGTTGAAGTACACATGTATGACTTGCTAGTTTTTGACTTGGTTAGTCTTCTTAGTCTTTTGATATTAGATTAGTGATAAGCATATTATTACCTGTTTTAGCAGCTTCAAACAAAGCCCTTTTCCTTTGTTCAGGATTTAAACTAGACAAACTTGACACCACAACGAATGCATCAGATGTTGCAGATGATGTTGAATTTGCTAAAGATGAAAGAAAATGTCATTTCAATAAAGACCTTTTCATTTCCATGTACTGTTATGATGTAGTTTAAAATGAAATTTACTGTAGTAGTTTCATCCTAGTTTGATTCTCAGTTTCCTCTTTCTCCTAACTGATTTCTGATGGACAGTTACCAGTTTGGCAATGCAAGGAGACAGTGTAACACTTCAGAAAACAAGTTTGCCATCCAACATAATTTTCTTTTGATACAAATTTATGTCATCATCATCACTGTCATCATCATCATTATCATTATCACCATCAACAAGTCTCTCAGTGCCAGAATTAGGAAAACAAGGACCTGGGGGCATCTTTATACCCTGGTATTTATTAATTTTATATTTATTTCATTTAGCTATTTGTTAGACTGCTTGATTTTTTATAGTAATCAACAATATCATATATTAATATCTCTGATGGGTAAATTTAACACACCTCTTCCTGTTCTAGCCTCTTCTATAGCTGACAGAGCCTTCTGGGTGTTCATTTCATCTTCTTTTTGTTTTAAGAGACATCTTGTACATACCTAGCAGAATAATAAAGGACTACTGACAGTAGATCAATGCTCAGTCAATTGACCACTTTTTCAATGGCCCTCTAAAATGTGGGCAAGCAAATTTTTTGACACACATATTGGCAAAATGATTTTTTGTGAAACAGACAAATTGCAATAGAAATTCTATAATAGTAAGTATGCCTCAGTTCCTGTGAGTGCACTTAAAACTGGAGCCATAATGATGCAGTTGCATGAATCTTACCACAAGACATTACAGCGATCAATTATGTTCAGTATAAAGACATTGAACTTTTGTCTCTCAACATTTGTATGTCAACACCAGATGTTTCGTGATTGAGTCTGTTAAGTTTAATGGAGTAATGGCCAACAGTTACAAAGATCGTTTGCCAAAAGAAGAAAATTTAACTCCCTTTCTTACATTCCACTCTACATTACTGATAAAACTCATTCATTATTTTTATAAAACATAACATAATTTTGAAATGGATGTAATAGCAGGATTTAACTATTTACTTATTATTTGACAAAATAGATTTTTAACAGTGACTTACCTTTACAGCTTTGTTAACAACAACATGACAGGTAACACACACTGCAGTGGAACATGTACGACAATGAGAACTAACAAACAAAAGAATGTGGAATTATTATCATGACAAGAGGTAATAAAGTGGTGCATCATTCTACTTAAATTCTAAATCTAAGGAGGTGTTTAAGCATCTTACTCTTTCATAAGAGGGAGAAAAACAAGGGGGAGAATAATAATCATTATAATTTATATCATGCAAATTAACATAAAAATATGATTAAATGAACATTAATTAGAAATTAGAATTAAGGGAGTATAAGTATTAAGACATTACCTGTCCTTTACTAATCTTGTTTCTATAGCATGACAAAGCAACTAAGAATATTTCTAATCCTTCCTGTCAAAACTCATGGTTTGCTTTAGGTCCATAATGTTACACTTGCTGGTACTGGTTCATACACCTGGATGGAGTGCCAGTCGCATCGAGAGTAAAGTGTCTTACCCAAGAAATTATACATTAAGCAAGGTCAAGGACCCTAGCTAGCCACAGCTAGAACTCAGATTTTTTGATCTGGACTCCAGAGCACCGACAATAAGGTCATTGTGCCTCCAAGATTTCAGAGTACTATGTGTACACTGTACATAATGAAAATGAAATCCATGCATGCATTATGATAAACACTACATGTAACAAGGGTAGCTCCAGTGTTAACTTTTTTATTTACAATAATATATATTAAATTGAGAAAACATTATAAGATGCTTACCGTCCTTTGATCAAGTTAGTTCCCCAATACTTCTGAAAAAATGTTCCACACTTGGAACAATTCTGCCAAATAAAAAAGTAACAATTTATCCTGAGTTCTACAAGTGCAAGTAATAATAATATTATTCATGGGTACAGTTTAACTTACACTATAGTTAACTTTTCTTCTTCTTGAGGAACAGTTCATGCATCAGTACACTCACTCTTGTTTTTGTAATACAGTGTAATGGCCATCTTTTTCAAAACACCATCATGTCAAAACAGTCACGTAAGTGTGTGCTAACTATCAAAATACCCTCTGCAAATGAGCCACACTTGTATAATTTTAATTATACAAAAATATCAAGCAGCATATCAGTCCTATCCATTTGAGTGTTGTTTCACATTATCAGGATGAAGTACCTGTAAACTAGCTTGAGCAGCTTGGTGCCTTTTTATTATAAAACAAAGCATTTACCTTTTTTTAACTATTAAACCTTGGATTATGAAGTAAGCAATCACGAACCTTGCAATCGCAGGACTTGTATGATTTTTTACAGTCACTACACCTTCTTGTAAGGCCTGCAGTGTCACTTCCTTTTGAGTTCAAAGAAGAAAGACTGATTTCATTCAATTGAAGATGATCAAATTATAGAGAAAGAACACTTGCTGTAGCACACTTTATCACTTATAAAATCATTATAAGGCCAAAATTTTCAAGTCTTTTATACAAAAACTAAAATCCAAATTTGACAGCTGGCCGTCTTTTTATTTGAAATATTAAGGAACTTTTAGCCTGAGAAAACAGCGGACATTTGGCAACGTTACAACTGGTTTCCCTGCCAAATGACATCTGACAAATGAGCGCAGAAATTCCATACTGATGACGCGTCACTATACCAAGATCTGGGTAGAACTTCTGATTGGTCTTGCCACGTGGGAAATTTGATTCAACCAATCACAAGCACTGCCCAGATCTGGTTAGTGATGCATCATCGGTATGAAATTTCTGCGCTCATTTCTCAGATGTCATTTGGCGGGGAAACTAGTGGTAGGATCGCCAAATGTCGGCTGTTTTCTCAGGCTAAGGAACTTTGTACCAAACAGAATTGATAAGCTCTTTAATAGAGACAACAAAAGCATTTCTAGATCTAGGGCTACTAACAATGTAACAGTATATATGTTTGAATATTAAACTCATTGTCTTTAGTTAATTATCTTTTATTTGGATTACCCTTTTATTCATAGAACATCATAAAGTTTCGTGGACGCAATCGAACGCAATATTACAGACATTATATGTTGAATTATAAATTAGAGAACAATACATACAGCGGTCAAAAAAACTTTACATGAGACTGCAGCAGTATGCAGGGTGTGAATGAAACGTTAAGACAAAAACCTACCTTCATTCGAGCTTGAACTATGGGAACTTTCCATTTCTTATAAAATTATTTCTTTCTAATCATTTCACAATCAAAAACAAACTTCCCAAAATCACAAGTGTTTCAGTTTGTATTTTGTTACATGACTTGGTATCCGAGCCTGTACAGGTGACCGTTTTGTTTCCAAGCTCCCTCGAGACTTGCCTCAGTATCTGTGCCAGAACTGTGGTTGTGGCGGCCGTGGGTCAGACGAGAATGTTTAAATACTAGCTGTCATCTCCGTTTGTGCTTTTCAGCATGATGTCAGGATTACAAGTTGAAAAATGGAACACCGAAACAGATGGACCTCTAAATGTAGCCAGCATGAGGAGAAAGTTAAAAGGCTACTCCTNTGGTAGGATCGCCAAATGTCGGCTGTTTTCTCAGGCTAAGGAACTTTGTACCAAACAGAATTGATAAGCTCTTTAATAGAGACAACAAAAGCATTTCTAGATCTAGGGCTACTAACAATGTAACAGTATATATGTTTGAATATTAAACTCATTGTCTTTAGTTAATTATCTTTTATTTGGATTACCCTTTTATTCATAGAACATCATAAAGTTTCGTGGACGCAATCGAACGCAATATTACAGACATTATATGTTGAATTATAAATTAGAGAACAATACATACAGCGGTCAAAAAAACTTTACATGAGACTGCAGCAGTATGCAGGGTGTGAATGAAACGTTAAGACAAAAACCTACCTTCATTCGAGCTTGAACTATGGGAACTTTCCATTTCTTATAAAATTATTTCTTTCTAATCATTTCACAATCAAAAACAAACTTCCCAAAATCACAAGTGTTTCAGTTTGTATTTTGTTACATGACTTGGTATCCGAGCCTGTACAGGTGACCGTTTTGTTTCCAAGCTCCCTCGAGACTTGCCTCAGTATCTGTGCCAGAACTGTGGTTGTGGCGGCCGTGGGTCAGACGAGAATGTTTAAATACTAGCTGTCATCTCCGTTTGTGCTTTTCAGCATGATGTCAGGATTACAAGTTGAAAAATGGAACACCGAAACAGATGGACCTCTAAATGTAGCCAGCATGAGGAGAAAGTTAAAAGGCTACTCCTGCATAAAATTACCCTGCGAGAAGAGGCTACATTTTCGCGGTATGACCTGGCGTGCGAAAAGTAGCTACTTTTCGCACACCAGCTCATACCGCGAAAATGTAGCCTCTGCTCGCAGGGTAGCATAAAATACACTTTTCCTCCTGGTACAGACTTTCCTGATCACACTCATAATGTCTCTAAAAAGGATTCAATAATAGCTGGCCAGTTTCGGTTTGCTATGAAGGGAAGAGAAGTCATCCTCCAGCCTGGTAATATGATTGAGGTTCCAGCCGGTGTGGTGCACAATGCTTCAGTGATTGGAAGTGAATCAGTGGTTTTCTTTGATGCCACAAAGTGGGACAGTTTTAAAAATGATGCTTGGCTTCTATGGATTTTGCCCATGTGAGGGAATCTGGATTCTGGAATCTGGAATGGAAAATTTTGCTTGCGGAATTTAAGATCCTGGGCTTTGGAATCCGGAATACACCTCAAGCAATCCAGAATTCCACTTATGATTAACATGCAGAATCTAAGTTCCACTGACAAAGACTAGGATCATTAGTACCTGGAATCCGGAGACCATGGCATGGAATCCAGAATCCAAGACTCTCTTGGATTTTCTTACATGGGGCGAATGGATAGTTTGTTAGGGAAGAATTAGATCAGGAAAGGGAAAGAAATATTTTTAATCATAAAATCCTGATCTTAGAAACTAACTATAATGGAGACCAGTCATTTCTCTTTGAAAATTCTGTTAAGTTATTATTTTTTGTTAAAAAACGCCTCATTTCCTAAGATAATAAAACAATGATGCCTGTTGTTTGTGATATTTAAACAGCTCAAGACTTATTTTATTTTAATGTATTTGTTTGGTTTTTAAATAATTATAGTTTTTTATTTGAATCTCTAACAACACTTACACAACAAAAGTTACCTTTAGATAAACTAAAAAAAGTATTATCACAATAAAGAAAAAAAAGAAATTACTGTACTTTACAATAAATTACAGTTCATTGTATTACAGTCTTGCTACAAAATTACAATAAAATGCAAGTCTGATGTTGAGGATAACCTTACTAGTTGAATTAATATTTTGTTAGAAAACAAACTTCTTCTCAATTTAAGGCTTATCCATTTATTATAATAATAATCAGGTGAATTAATACTTATTGCTATATGTTGTACTATCTGGGCTTTGTTTACCACTATAGTT